ACACACACACACACACACACACACACACACACACACACACACACACACACACACAAGCCCACTGAGCAGCGCATATTATAGGGTCTGATTCCACACGAAGATTCCTTTCTGAATTCTCCCACTCCACCTATGATAATGCTCGATGCTCACTGTGAACAAAACCAATTTTATTTTGATGTGCAAGCAGGACGTCGAAGTTCAAAAGATCTTTCTTTACGCGATAATCTTATATAAGAGAGCCTCCAGAGCATATAAAGGCATAGTTCGCGATAATTTCGAGACAGCCTCTTCAGGTTGAAAGCGGATGAGTTGCTAGATTTTATCGCACCGGTGGCGAAGGAAGCGAGAAAGTCCGAAGAGTTAGTCGAATATAAAAGTCTTCTCAAGACTGGTGAGAAAGGGGGTTGTACGATATTACAATGACGGGGATGTTATGGAGAAGACGGGATTTCCAGTTACGTTGGGAACAAGCTGAATCCGCCAAAAAATTACCTAGAATTGTCTCTTACCGTCGCCATGGGTCACAACTGTTGTTGAAATTTCTAACATGGGTGTCCCTATGAAATGATGCAACCACCGCAACGTTGTTGAACTCGCCACCTTTGAGTGTGGAGGCTAAGCAACCTCTGAGCCTTCATTCTGCTCTGTCCAGGCCGTTTTTGGGCCAACAGCACGAAATATTGCAAACTTGGAAACCTCAGGTTCGTCTTAGTCAGAAATCTCGGATGCCGTTTTGCTTGTGAGCTGTGCCTTCAGATCTTTCCTTTGAAGTCTATCTATGCATGACTATTCAACCTTCGAGTGTGTAGAACAGTTCCGTGGGTGAAATTTCCATCTCTGTGGCGATGGGAAAAGGGGCATCATGGCAGCCTTGGTGAGAGAATGCGTTTTAAATTTTTTTGTAGTCCATGTCAAGATAATCCAACAAAAGCAATCTAATTGAAGTTCGTTTTTTGTTAGACATGAAAAATTTTTTTTTATCCCTTAGCTATAACGGTTCTCTTCAAACTGCTACCCAAGATCGTTTCGGACGGGTACTTAGCCATTGGCATAGAGATCTCAATAAGCTGTTGAAGAAAGAGAGTAATTCAGTGGTAGAATATAGAGAATATAGATATCAGATCGATACTCGAGCAATCCACAATAATGCACCGATGAACACAAAGTTTATCCAGAATTCGCTTCCCAAACCTCGAACTTGGGTAATTAAACCCGATTAATACGATGCTACGATAATACCAAACAAAACCAAAAGAAGAAGGAAGAAAAAGGATCATGCCGATGTCTTCTGCACCCATCTTTTATATCCTCATTTAGCGCGCTATCGATAGATCACATTCCGAACAATTCCATATAGATCTTGACGATGTTGTCGTCAGAGAGAGTTTTGAAGTGATCAACTCAAACAACGCATGCAAAGATGAAGAGATAAAGTACGTAGACCTTGTCATTCTGTACTTTCGTCAAAACTGCTGAAAAACTGCTTCTTCATATGAAATTCAGACTTCTTTACATAAAACTTATTCTTGAAATTTTTTTTGCGCAGAGTCTCAACTCTGGTACTGATTGGTTACTTTGAAGACTTGTTCTAAAATTGATATTGGTATGAGTGGTTGTCTGTCGCTACTTGCCACGCGGGAACACTGTGCACTGGGAGACTATGCAGAAACGCCGATTGAACGAATAATTTAAATTCTGGTAAAAGCTACAATCAAAATATCAAAGTATAAAAAGATACAAGGACGAAGAGTAGGTGCAGTGCAATGAAACCAGATCATGTTCTCTTTCTGAAGCAAAAGCCTTATAACAACATGGGACAATACATTGGGCTAAATATTGTGGGAAATCGTTCGGCATTGCAGATGTTGATGATTTGATTCACCAATGCGCAGCGTTATTTCCCAGTCCCTGAATAGGATGTTTATCAAGCACTATCCGTACTTAGGTAAACAAAATTGAAAAAGGATCGCAGCACCAGTACTCCGGCAGGCAAACCTCAGTTGTGTAGGCGATGAAGGCGTTGTTCCGAATCTCGTATTCTTCTTTTGCAGCGTCCAAGCCCCATTCTCACCAGCAAAAGTTGTTCGATAACCCTTGGTGCAGTCTCCGGCAATTCGCATCGGGCGGAGTCCTTCGGCAATGATAACATTTAGTGAAGCGTTTCTTACAAAATTGACCGCCAGTGCAATACTCCAAGCAAAGAATACATAGTCCTCGTTCACCCATGAGTTATCTCCTCTGTTCGACCAGGCTGACTATGTGGCATGAGTCAGAATAGTGTTCTCCCACTGCTTCACAAAAAAT